GTCGTGCACTGGCTCTAAGGATCTCTGTAGATTCGTTGCTGTAGATTCCTCAAGTCTAAGGAAAACAGGCACTTAAATTCGATCAAAGGTCCGCAGAATTTTTTATCTGATTAAAATGGGGGCAGAGCAGATAATATATGTTACTTCGTTTAATTAATTAGAACGCGCAAAGGTCGTGATTTTTCCCGTGTCTTTCAGCGACTATTCATGTACTATTTTTAAGGTTGGAGAAGATTTTGGAGTTTATAATATGACATCGCTATCTCCGGTTTCATTTGTTAATGCCATTTTGTCCAATATTTCTAAGTCATCCCAATAAAATACTGCATGAGCCCCAAAGCCCAAATAGGAGCCCAAGGCCCAAAAGCCTAAATACAGTCGAGTCATTTTATAGTGAGCGCCTTATATATGGCCCCCCTTAAGTGAGGCTATTTCTTAACCGATGGATCATACTAATCAATTTGATTCAATGGCTAGCCAATTTGATTTTGATCAAATGGTTAAGAGATAGGACATCACCTAAGGGCCATATATAAGGCCCTCACTATAGAATTCTTGAAATACGGTACCAGTTGAGAGATTGGGCTTTATTTTGGGCTATATAAGTATCCAAGAATAAAAAGCATTGAAAACAAATTCAGACAAGTTTATGAGTACTTCACCATTTCTCATTGCATAATCAACTGCGGACAACAATTGCCAATGTACTTTTGACGGAAGTAAAGGTGTTCAAACAAGAAAGCTTCCAACTAGATTTTTAAGGACGTGGTTGAAACCAACACATATTTTACAGCATCATATCTGTGTCACCCCAGCTGACGAAGGAAGATGTTTTTTGAATAAAAAGAAAATAGCGAGAGAGAGTCTTAAGCTTATACATATGTAAGGTTCATGCCTACAATGCCAGAAAAGTCGAGGGTCATTCTTGCTTCAAACCTACAGCTCCAGCAAATTCGGGAACAGAGTCTGGTTGCGCAGGTTCAGCTTTTTCACTTACCTGAAACAAACGGAAATGAAAATTTAGCAACACTCAAAGCAGCCTTGAAAATATTAAAGCAATCATAGCAGCCAACGATGCAAGAAAAATATCAGCAGCAGCAGTACAGGGTCAATAATGGATGGTGTGCCTGTAATGAGGCCAACTCTGCTGAACATAGTACACGTAATGATTGTACCAGCCAGCAATGAGTGGTGTCAGAGAAACAATTACATTTCAAAATGTTAAGTTTTCTGTAAATTTCATAACTAAGAAGGAATCAAGCACAAAGAATAACCAGAAAAGAGTAATGCATTCACAGATTAATAATGCAAGCAATCAAATCAAAATTAGTTGGATAATATGAACTCTCATTATGTTACATACATTCTGACACACTGCTGGAAACAAGTAACTCCCTCTTAAAACGAAGAAGGCAAATGAAAGTCTATAAATCAACATGCAACTGATTGGGATTCCAGCAACTATATTCATTTCAGTAGTAAATGAGCAACTTCAAAAAAAAAACACCAAAAAAAAAAAAAAAAAAAAAAAAGTTTGGCTGGGGGGGGGAATTTTTTTTCTTGAAATGTTAATTTTACCGATTATCCATCCCTACCTTCACTCCCACTAACTCGCATTAAATTATATCTCTTTTCTTTCAACTGGACAAAGATCTCACCATTACCTCAAATCCCCAAAAAACAGAGTAATAAACTGTAATCTACCAACACATAGAAAACAAATATGAACTAAGATCTTAGTTCCCAAAGAGCTACATACCATGCACAATTCATATATCAACCATCGATATATATACTTAGTCTGACTAGAAGGGATAATAGGCAAAGTCAATTAATTATTGAATTCCTTGTCACAGAGAAACATAACCCAGCTGGTAAGTTATTCATCACATATGGAGCTACCATTATCACGATCCTCGTATTTATATGAGATGGCATTATGTGCTGAGTGATTGACTTACACAAACCAAGAAAAGGGTAAAAACAATGGATGAATAGGACCAAACCCAGTTTCAATCCACCTGAACTAATATAGTGGACTGCAACCAACGCAGCAGTTATGTTTGATATGGCATTTTATTTCTGTTCGTTTTTTCAAGTATAGGATGAAAGGCTGCTACAAGTGGATATCTCAAAATGTAAAAAAAATCACCATTAAACCATTCCACACAACAAAACAATAACAAAAATTTCATATAACTAGTGTTCTAGAAATCCTGCATCCCATTCAGTACCACATCAATCCATTGAAGAAAACCCAACAAGCATCCAAATTGAACAGATTATAAATGTGGGACAATCAAAGCAGGTAAAAGATATAAGCATTTATACTTTTTCAACAACAACAACAACAAAACTGAAGAGAACTGAAAATTCGTCTCACTTTGCTGTCCTGTTTAGCTACAGGCTTGTAAGGACATGCCGGAGGAGCTATTTCTGGCTTTCTGTACTCCCACCCGAGAAGCCTATAAATTTTTCCCTGAAAACGAACATAAAATTCAACTTCTGATTAAAAATCACCACAATTTGGACAATTCGATAGTAACCCAAATCAATTTCAATCCTGTTCGGTGACCTAAATTTCTCGGCAACCAAACAGGGCCTGATGAAATTACCACGATGTAGTAGAAGAGAAGGGGCAAAAAATTGACTATTGGGACGAGGAAAAGTGGTAAGAGACACGCCACGCAAACCTAATGAAAGAGGAAAACAGAATTAGAAGTGAAAATTAATGGAATTTAGATGAGGATTTGAGAGAAATTTTACCATCTTCAAACGCGATTTTGATCGAACGGGTTCTTCTAGTTGTTGTGATTGATGTTCGTCGTTGTTTACAGAGTTGAAGGGGATTTCCAGCCAGCTCTCGTATAGTAATTTAGTAAATGAAATTAAAAAATTATTTTTTATTTGTTTTCTAAAATAAAAAAAGAAAATTAGAAGAAAACAAAAAGTTGGCCCATGCAGGTCTCGAACCTGCGACCTTCGCGTTATTAGCACGACGTTTCCTTCATTTCATCACTTTCACAGCACTAGTCACCCTCAAAATTTCTATGAATGCATCTGAATGAATTCACCCTCAAAATTTAGTAACCCTATTATACGTTCATTGAAATCTACTTAATCCACAGAGTGTTCAACCGATTGATTGCTCTCACTTGTTTAACTATGATGGCATAGAGACATTCACATTCCATGTTTAACCATACGTATATTTTCCCTCTTTTTGGGGCCCGGATAGCAGTGAATGCAATTTAAATTGAGAGATTTCATACAAGAAATTCTTGTGGAAACAGGGAAACTAAGCAGGAGATAGGCCACACCCCTTTACTTGAACCGGATGCAACAGATGTCCATGCATCAATTTCAGAAATCCCAACCACCATATGATCCATGAGGAGGACAAGAAGTGGATATAGGCTCAAGAATGAGTGTGTCTAACTCCAACCAACATCCCCAGCCACAGTCAATCTAGTTAAGGTTAGGGCCATCTTTCTCTGTTACAATTTCCCGCCAGCCTTTTGACAAACTACATCTTAACAATTTAGCTTGCAATTAAATGGTAAAATATGCTGTCCATTAATGGGTTTCCTTGTTCATCTTCAAAAACATTATGTAATAAAAGGGAGACTGAACAGAGCTGAAGCAGCAATGACAGTCGCATATTCTAATTTATTAGTCAATACAGTTGTCTATATATGCATTTTATAAGCAGATAGCCTGTAGCAATGCGCAAACAACATGCTTCCTGCCCGACAGGTACGTCCTTTGATCAAGCATTACGCACTCCCAGTCTCACCCTTACAAGGGACGCTGGTGCAGTGACAAACAGGTCTGCCAGAAGATTCCCAGCCACTGAAGCCACGCTCCAAAATCAAAATGTCTTTGATTCCAGTGTCTTCCTTCGCCTCCTCAAGATAATTGGCGAACTTTCGTGCACAAGATGGGCCACGGACCTACAAAACCATCACAACACTTGCAGCATTACATATATCTTTCAAGAACACCTTCAAGCATGATAGAGTGAGCATGAGAGAGAAATCAGTATCAAGAAAGCCCTTAACTCATTTCCTTAACCCTATAACAGAAAAGGGAAGTAGAAGCAGTTAAGACCTTCGATAAACTAAGTCTAAAGGGCAGATTTTAATTGTATGAAAGCAGTTCAGTCTTCTGAGGCTCTGTGGTATAAAAGGGAATCACATTGGCTTTTCTAAAATTCAAGAAACAGTCCTGATTCAGTAATTTATGAGACATATAGAATTAGAAAAATCTCAAACTTGGAAAAGACTAAATCTTTGGACTAGGACAATTAGCCGACTCCTCATCCAACTTCCAAGTACATACAGAGTTACAGGTACAAAATATATCAAACAAGGTTTCCACTTTCAAGAGCATAGCAAGCTGATCAGCAAGTTTCATATAGGGCTTGCACTTTGCTGGTTTGAAGCGAAAATAGAATTGACCCAACAAATCCTTTTTCAAGATGCTTGTCTTCACTTTCAAAACATGCCAAGAAATGCATGTTAAAAAGCATATTAGAGCAAGAGCTTGCTTTATGCCTTTAACACTCTGATCATGCAATTAAGAAATCAAAACTAAACAACATTTATCAAATCAGTCTGTTTCTGGGCAACCTAAGTGTACAATCTTCAGCACAAAATCAAAAGAATTTTTTTTTAAACAGAAATTTCAATTGGGTTATGCAATAATCTCACAGATGAAAAGCACAGATGAGATGAGATCAAAGAACCTGGCTAAGAACGCAGTGGAAAACGAGGGTGTCTTTGCCTTTGACATCTTGAACGAGATTGGAGATCTTCTCATAGAAATTGCCACTGGCGTAGTGCAAAGACCCTGCTATGTGCCCATCGTGACTCCTTTCGTCATCCCTTCAACAAATAAAACCAGAAAAAGAAAACCCATTAGCAATTTCAGCATACGACTTTCAAATAAACTCCATGGAAGAAGCACAGAGAGAGAACCAGAGAGAGCAAGTGAAAGACTCGTAAACCTGACATCTATGATGGCGATGTTTGGGCGGCGTTTGAGAGAGACTAGCTGAGCGCCTGTTACGTAGGAGATACTCCGAGCCATGGATAAGCTAATTCTCTAAAGACGAATCTCTCTGCCCACCTCTTCTTTCTTCCTCAAATCTTATAGATTACAAGATTCGAGTTGGAATTTCCGAGCTTTTGCACCGTGATTACAACGCCACCAAGTGACTTCGGCAATTTTAATGGGTATCGTTTTGACAAATGATGGGTATCAATTTAATGGGTATCAATTTGCCGATTAATAGGTATCGACTTGACAATTGATGTGTAATCGACTTAGCAATTGAACTGTAACATATTTTAATATTTAATAAACCTTTTTACCCCAAATACCAGGTTTCCCGGTTTCCATACCAAGAGTTTAGATTAATCCAAATCCCACTAATCTCAATCTAAGGGCCCATATCCTTTGGTGTGCCCATTCACCAAAGGGCTCAATTTCTTCCATATGTAAATTTCACATCACTCAGATGGTCATTGACCTCTCATTTAACAACTTCAACTCTTCATTACCTCAGTGGCTGTTCAATATCAGTACCCTTGTGACACAATAGATCTCTATGATTGTCAAGTTACTGGCTCTATTCCGAAAATGGCGTGGGGAAATCTTTACAGCTTGCAGAGTTTTAGATATATCAAGCAATTCTGTGAGTGGGGAGATAAAGCAATTTCTTGATTCTTTGTTTGAGTGCAGTAATAGAAGCTTACATGGGTTTAACTGTGAAGGGAAGACAATACGAATATAGATCGATTAAATATGCTAAACATGAACGGATTTGAGAGGAAATCATTTCTCATGTCATTTTTCAAGTGATGGGAAATTGAGATTCCTTTCTCATATTTAGTAATCATCGAAAAGTAACTAAGAAATACCGCTTTATTTCCTTTCACATGTTTAGTTTTGTGTAGGAATGTAAAACAAAATTTGTTTAATTTTTCAATTGTACCCATATGAAATCAAATAAAAAAAGAATGCATTTAATGCTATATTGTAATTCTAAATTCTTTAGATCATAGGAGACTTTCTTTGGCAACATCTGCGTCGTGATGTGATGTGTTTCAATGGTTCTGCGGTTGGGTGATTGGTTGGATCTATTGTGATACCCATAGTACGTTTTTGACTATGTACGAAGAACTATGATGCTTTTTCTTGATCATAGGAGGACTTCTTTGACAGTACCTACGTAGTGATGAGATGTTGTTTTAAGGGTTTTGTGGTTGGGGTTTAGGTTGGTTTGTTTCGTATAAGTTGTTTGACTCTTCTGTTTAATAGAATGGGTGGTACTCTTTCCTACTCCAGGATTTTATTTATCTAGGAAGGTTTTAAAGAGGCTGCCGTTAACATGCTAGTTCTTACCATGTAATGTTCATTTCAGTTTAATGAAATACCATATTTTCTTAACAAAAAAATTGGGGACAATATGATCATGAAATTTGTGTATTTAATGCTGGCTCATTTTCCCAAATTTTCCCATAATGAGGAAAACAAAACTCAAAGGGGGAGGAAGACTTCATTTTCCCCTCTATTTTCCCATGTGCAAGGCAACAATTTATCATGCTTGGACTTACCAAATATGGGAAAACAATTGATTTCCCATCCCCAAGCCTCCTTTCTCATGAACCAAACGAGGCCTATAAATCCTTCGAGCAATAATTTATGGGGAGAAATTCCGAAAGAGATAACAAATCTATCAAACTTGTTTGCCTTAAACCTCTTGCGGAACCAACTGATAGGAAGAATACCAGAGAGAGTATTGGAAGCTTGCAACAATTGGAATCTCTTGACCTATCAAGTAACCACCTTTCAGGTCCAATTCCTTTAAGCATGACCTCTATGACTTTGCTCAGCCCATTGAACTTGTCATACAACAATCTATCCGGGCCAATTCCACTCCATTGGCAATCGAGTGTTCGACTTCCAATGACGGGGATGCACAAGTTAAACAAGACGGATTTGAAGATGACAATGTTCCCACGAGATATGGTTCTATGTAAGCATGGAACTGGGAAACATGCCTATTTCCAGTTTCTTGACAAAATGAAAGAAAGACTCATTCTGGTAAGAAGAAAGATTGAATTGGGAAGACAACACTAATCAGTTGCTGGTTATAGAGGATAAGTATCACTCAGTTTGTACCTCATTCTGTCTGTTATGATCTATGTTTTATATTTTTTGTTTTCTAAATAGGAAAATATTAAAATAAAAATTTTGCGGTTTAAATTAAAAATAATTCTGAATTTTCTGTTAATCTTTTGCTTTTTCTAATACAATTTTCTTCTAATTTTTCTCCTTAATGAAATAGTATCAGAGACACCAACTTATTACACAAATTTTTAGTTACCAAATGATGTGATTGTGTTTTATATTTGGGCTCCTTGAACTTCATCTATTTACATCAATTGATAAGCAAAAGTTTGTGTATTTAGTATTATTGTTATAAAAAAAACCTAACTTTCACCTTTTTAATTTTAAATTCTCACTCTGAATCGATTAGATTAGACCATCTTCGGTGGAGGAGCTAAGCTACAATTCTGGGGCCAAATAGCATATCTCATTTTAGTTATACCTAAATGGTGGATCCTATTCATATTAGCCGAACCCATGTGAAAGGGAGATAGAAAAGTGGGTCATTTCCAACATTATTGTTTTGATACAAGCAATAGAGGGGAAATCGAACCTATGATCTCGAGTGCGAAAGTAAATGCTCTTAACAACTTAAACTACAAGTCTCTTATTGCTAATATCATTTTTTCTTGGCCACTACTAGCAAGACATCTTCAACTTTGTTTAATGACTGAGAGGATATGGTCATTGTCATCCAACAACCACATATTATGAATTCGATTTTGATTAAAATGAAAACCTAACAACTACCTCATGTCCGATGATCATAACTTAAAATGAGTAATATATGGTGGTAAAATAATCTACATAAAAAATGTTAATATTAATTGATCAAAATAAGATCAATTCCTAAAATTATCACACACTCTAGGAAAAATTACACCATATGTTCATTTTTTTTTGTTTAAGGACAAAAAATTTTAGGCTAAAATATTCATAAAAATAAACTACATATATAAATAAAAATTATCACACCCCGATTCGAAAATAGGAATTATCAAGAGGATGAACCGTAGAACTCCTGCTACCCATAGCCTTAATTGACTCACTGTTTATGATTTTTCTAATGGGCAATGATTTCCCCACTCCTATTTTATCCACTTACACTCCTTTTTTAGTTATAAAAAAGGAGTGTAAGTGGATAAAATATGAGAAAAAGGAGTGGGGAAATCACCACTCTTTCTAATATGCATGCATGCGCGTCACTGCACCAGAAATGAAAGGAACTCTCATCTCCTTTGGACTCGGCTGGCTTTCAGAATAATATTGTAATCCAAATCCAAAACTATTTCAAAATCGGTTATTAACACAGGTGGCTGCCTTCTGGCTCTTCTTAAAGCCACATCAAAAAGTTTGATTTGATATTTTCAAGGAGGTCTTAAAGTTAAACTTGGATTCTACCTTCGCTAAACTTCACTCATTCTATATTCAAGTATTTATCCAATTTCCTTTCCTTAGGGGTGCTTATTTTCTAACGGGGTTATTTACTCAACTTTAACAAGATTCAATCTAACTAAATTTAAAAAAAGAAAAATAAAATAAAACCCCACTATTGTTGAGATTCCGAGATTTCAATAAAACCCCACTATTTTTGTATATGAGTTTGAATTTGTTTTCAAAAAAACAATTCCAATTCCAATGAAAATGAAAATGACGTATTTTTTTATATATAGAAAATGAAAAGGGACATTTTGGAAAAAGCAAAAGGAGAGAGAAAAATTTTAAAAGAAGTAAAAATGGACAAAAATACCCTTATTTATTTTTAGATTTCCTAAAGAATCCAATAAATTTGCATGTCTTTGATTTGAAAGTTGAGTGGTTTTTTTGTCTTTTTTGAAAAAGCTTTGTCTTTTTCCAAAAGCGAAATTTTTTTTATGTCTAAAACCTAAAAAACCTAAAATGGGAAAACGGGAAGTGACCCAACCGCCTATGTTTTGATTTCCCACCAAAAATTAATCTTCAAGAAACCGACAATTTTCAACAGTTCTCTCTCCCTCACTCACTGTGAAGCCCTAGCAACTGTTCCCCAATTCTCACTCACTCATGGCAAACCCTCACCCCCCTTCCCCCATCTTACTTCTTGACGACGAGGAACTCCAAGAGGACCAAAACGCAGCACCGGGATTCAATGATGATGGAGACGATGAAGACGATGAAGACGAAGAAGAAGAAGAAGACGAAGACTTAATTGACACGGATTATGCTGTATCACTACAGCATTCTGGTGTTTCTCATAACGGTGCCGGAAATTCTCGTGAAACAGTGGCGAGCAATGGGGCTGAGGAATGGGGGCGTAAGCGGAGAAGAGCTGGAGAAGGCAAAACGGCGTCGTGCGATGGAATTGGCAGTGCAGAGAGTTCCCAAGGCAGCCACTGGACTCGGAATGAAATCGATGGGCTATTTTGCCCTATTTGCTTGGAGGCTTGGACCAACGACGGTGATCATCACATCTGGTTCGAATTCAAATGTCAATTCTTTGTGATTTTATATAACTTTTTCTTCAGTCTAAAGTGGTGCAGATGATTTATTTCTGTAATTTTGGTTTTCGGATTGCAGTTGCCTTCCTTGTGGGCACATATATGGGATGTCCTGCATAAGAAAATGGCTACAGCAGCGTAAAAATTCAGGGAAGGTAATGATTTGTCTAACAATCCCCTGGTTTTCAATTTCTTTGAAATTTGAAGTTAGTTTGGTTTTTCTTCTTTGTTGTTGACATTCCTGGCCGTGCATTCTCCTTCTTTTTAGTGCCCTCAATGCAACAAGAAATGCGCGTTGAAGGATGTTAGGAAACTTTTTGCTTCACGAATTGTTTCTGTTGACGAAGAATCGCAAAAGGTCATATCCAATCTCACAGGGCTGATACTTTCTGCTAAAACTTATGCAAAGTTAACTTATTTTGAATGATAGGTTCTTCTTGTTTGTAGATGATTCGGTCACTTGAGGCTAAATGTGATTCTCTTGAGAAGAAGGTAGGGATATCTTTGGACTGAATTAATATATATCTCTCATAATTTGTTTTGGTCCAATCATATTTTGTCCAGTACATAATATAGTAAATTCTTTGTTTCTTCCATATACATGCCTTCATTTTTCTGGTTTAGTAAATAATA